CTTTTCCAGATAATCAATAATCTTCGTAAGGTCCTCTGATTTTTTCATATTTTTAAAGATTTCTGGTTTATCAGGATTTATTAGATCATAAATTGTCCAAATCAGTCAAATTCAGTAATCAAACATCTCAACAGAATCCTCTGGACATACAGTGAACTCTCGGGTACTCGATTTTTCCCTAACTCGATGGAAATCCAGGCTACTCGGACCATTCTCCCCATACACATTACAAAGTTTATCTTCCTATCTCGATATCCTCCCTGACTCAAAGGTCCATTCAATATCGAATTAGGCAGAAGTGACTGTATAATCATTTGAATAAGATTTGCATTAAGCCCTCTATTGGTTCAAGACTTCTAGTTCACCAGGTAGTTTATGAAGATCGGAATATGAAGAAATCCAAATCTGTAAGGTATTTTTTGCAATACCTAGCAATAAGAAATTATTGCAGGGTAATTAGATATTTTTCTGTAGATCTCAAATAGATCATCATTTGAAATAAAATTTATTGGACATTTATAATGCCATGTGGCTAATTTAATATTGCGATATTGCGCTTTAATTTACACGAAATATCGTGTAAATTTATGCCAAATCTAGCGTTAATTTTATGTGCGCTATATCTCGCAAATATTTACAGTGTATACGTCGTCCTCGTTCCAGAAATACCTAGATTGTTGTGTATTTGATAGTTTTTCTGAAACTGATGGCCACCATCTGGAATTCAAAGTGGCGACCAACATCAATTTTTGACCTCTGAACGTAGTTTCCGTTCCGGAAATAGCCATATTGTAGGGTATTTGACAAAATTTTCAAAACCAACGGCTGCCATCTTTGATACAAACATGACGACCAACATAGAGGGTATTTTAAAGTATTTCTAACACATATGACCGCCATCTTGGATTCAAAAATGGCAGCGGATATCAAATTTTGATATTTAAAAGCCGTCCTCGTTCCGAAAATACTTATATTGTTGGGAATTTGACAGTTTTTTAAACAGATTGGTTTTATAAATCCAGAACAACATGTGAAAAGGGCATACAAGCTTTTTGTAAACAAACATTTGTAGGCCCTTTTCTCACCAACCGAGGGTCGCCCACGCAAACCAGCAATATCATCGGGAAGGGGAAAGTGTCCCCTACCCGGTGATGTTAAAGGTTTGCGTTGGTGTCATATGGGTGGCGAGAAAAGGGCATAAGAAGGTTTGTTTACAAAAAGCTTGTATGCCCTTTTCACATGTTGTTCTGGAAATGGCGTCCAATATAACGTCAACCTCTACACTTCATCCCCATTCAGGAGTCACCTATATTGTAGGGTATTTGACAGCTGTTTGCGAATTTTGACATCTACACGTCGGCCGCGTTCCGAAAATACTCATATTGTAGGGTATTTAACAGTATTACTTAAACCGAAAGCGGTTAACTTGGATTCCAAAATGGTGTTTGACAGTATTTCTTAAACAAATGGGCTCCATCTTGGATCCCAACATGGCGTCTTGCATCGATATCCATCCTCTAGACGGCCCCTTGTTCCGGAAATACACACATTGCACAGCAACATCCTATATGGGCAGGCTTACGATACATAACATATTCAGGAAGTTCATGTGCACACTAGCGCCACATAGTGAGAGAGTTCTGAACTAATATGAACACCATCTGGAAGACCGTGCTCATCTGAACAACTTTGCGTAAGATACTAACCTTCTATATGGCCACGATCCTGATATACAGGTTATACAGGTTGCCTAATGGTGCCTAGTAGTGTAAGAGTTCTAAACTAATATACCACCATCCGAAAGGAATTTGTTCACCTGAACAACTTTGCTCAAAACAGCAACTTTCTATATGGCCAGGATCAAGAGATATTCTATGTTGGACCAAAATTCCATATAATATAGCGTCCGTCGTAAGTAATATGAAAATGAAGCACCACTAGCGGCGTAGTTCTCAATTTAACCCTAAACCGAATGGCACAGGCTTGTTGGTCTACCCCAGTACAACAACTTTGTCGTAGCAGTAGTAAAATTACGTTTATTTCTTTTGATTAGACTGTTTAGGATCATCCTAAAGATCTTCTTCTGGATCCTTTGGAGTTTGAGGTGATGGCATTTGGCGCGACTCCCCCAGATTGGCATACCGAACTCGATTACGAGAAGGATGATTTGCTTGTAATAGCAAGCCTATTTTTCAGGGACAGGGTGGACTTCCTGTTGATAAGTGGATACAATGGTGTTATCAAGATGTTGCACTTGGTTTTCATTTTGATGATGGCGATATCGATGTTTCGTTCATTGAAGGATTCAACGAACTTGATGCTCTTGCTCCTGAGTGAGCAAGCCTTCCAATTGGCAATGTTGATGGATTCACGGTCCATACTTATTGATGAGGGATACTGCAGCATGAAGCTGTTCTGTTCAGGTCCTGCAGGTGCGCTGGATCAAGTTCAGCCGTTATAAGCAGAGTGTCTGCGTTATCAATCGTTGGTGAAGGGAGAGCACCATCATGAGGCGGAGAGGTGCTTCGAGATGCAGCGGTTGCCGCATATGACTGTTGAGTTGAGTTTACCGGAGTGTTATGCACCACAGTTGTTGGCGGGACCGATCCAGCAGCAGCAAAACGGTTGTTGACTGGAAGTGGCGGAACCACTGCAATTTGGCGCCGTTGCAGGATGGCAGGAAAGATATGCCCGTTATTTTCTGGCACTCTTCTGCGGCCAGATTGATTCTTCGTAGAGGCTAATAGAGGGTAATGAGTTCCGCTCGCTTCAGGCATGTCTTGTTTGTTGCCCGATGTGCTGCACCGCAATTGGCACATTTGGGGTCTGCTTCCTCCAATAATTCGCAGGCATTAGGTGCGTGAGGCAGTTTCTCGTTCCATGCACTTCACGCTTGAATTACTTTCCAGGTGGACCAGATACAGCTGGTCACGGTACTTACGTGAAGCGTCATGACGATTCATCTTAAAGATTTGGATCGGCTTGAGTCCATGTTGCTTCAATTCATCCGACAGTGTGACTGTTTCCATGTCGGGAAGGCCGCGCAAGACCACCTTGAGCGGCTTGGTCGCCTCAATATCGTGGGAGAAATACTGCACGTTTTTCTGGACCAGCCACGTCTCGACGGCCTTGTAGTGGTTCATCGCTGGAACCATCAGCTTGATGCCTTTCCCAATGTAAAAGTCTAGTTTCCCCGCAAGCCTTCCGGGAATCCTTTTACGAAGAACGGTGGAACTTTCTCCTTCTTTTCCACCTTCGGTTCATCGCCGTTTTCCAGGATGGCGAAACAATTGTTGGCCAACAGCTTCTTCGATGCCAATGATGTGCACTGGTGGTGTCCGATCGGGATCGTTTCCCGGCCGAAATAGCAGTCGCGTCAACACGCTGTGGTTTCCCCATGCTAGGATCGTACGATGCTTCATCAAATACCGCGAAAAAAGAAGCACGAAAACAATCGCAATGAACTAGCGAACAACTCGAGAGAGTGAGTAAAACCGAACTGTACGGGTTGAAGGTCAAACAGAGAATGGAGGACAACTTTGTCTTGACTCTGAAATTTCGTTTATTTAAATTTGATTATGGTAGTTACATTATTTGTACAGGTTAATTGATTAGCTTCTAGGCTAGGGATTTAACCAAATTTGGTGATTAGGTTTTTCAACTAATCTACAGTATTCCTCCTTTTGGGGTGAGTTGGATTAGAAAAATATAATAACCTACCTAACTACTTAAACTAGGTTGCCTAATCACTACCCAAGTAACATTGCAAGTTTTATAGAGGTTTTATAGCATTCTACAAGTCTGAATCGTGGTCTACAGAACCCTCATAAAACCAAAATTGTTACTTGGGTAACGATCTGGTGGTTTGATCGCAGACAGGCGACTCTGAACCTTTCCAGCGTGAAAGTCTTTCGCTCCTCGAGTGTTTGAAGACCGGCCAGGTGGTGAATCTCAGAATTACGAGATTGCGGTGGACTGTTAAGGATCATTCTGAGGATCTTGTTTTGGATCCTCTGAAGCTTTAGGTGATGGCACTTAGCACAACTCTTCCAGATTGGCATACCATACTCAATCCGGTCGGCAGAATGATCTGCTTGTGGACAGCAAGCTTGTTTTTTGAGGAACAGGGTGGACATCCTGTTTATCAGAGGGTAGAGCGACCTGATCAAGATGTTACACTTGGTGGATGTCTTGTCCACATGAGATCGGAACAGCAATTTGCTATCGATGGTGAGACCAAGGTAGACTACTTCACTCGACCATTCAATGGGAGTGCTATCAAGGTGGACCTTGACGTTAGCAGGCGGAACAAGCCAAGGTGAATTTGAGTGTGGAAACTGAATGGTTTGTGTTTTAGCTGCATTGATACAAATCTTTCAGCTCTTGAAATAGTCGGACAGAACATCGAGGCCTGATTGCAGTTTACTCGTCAGAGCACGAATCACTCGACTCTCATAGATGATGGAGGTGTCATCTGCGAACATTGACAGGATACCACCACCCGGCATGGGAGGAACGTCTGACGTGAAAATTTTGAATAGGATATACCCAAGCAGGCTACCCTGAGGGACCCCTACATCAACGTTGAACGTATCAGAGGGGACATTGTTCAAGTAGACCTGGAATGATCCCGACAAGTAATTATTGATGATCTTCACGAGGTAGATCGGAAAGTTGTATCAATGCAGCTTGCACACTAGGCCATCATGCCAGACATTGTCAAACGCCTTCTCAAGGACATCTTTGTCGAAGACAGTATAGCTTTATATATTGAAACAAATGGGATAATCCACCACAACCCCTAATAGAAAAAATTCCATAAGCTGTGGGTATCCTTATTCGTGGATAGCCCGGCAATAAGTGATACCGTCTATAAGGATTCCTGACTCTATAAGCAATGCAATGAAGGATGAAGCATGTTTTTAAGACAAACTTCCGTGGACAATACATAATAAGACATCATTTATTGATTTATAGATTTAAAACACTGATCCATTTAAAAATTAGCAGTCTCCACACATAACAGACGACAATCAATCAACTTGCAATTTCCGGAACGTTCCAATCACTCCCGGTTCCAATTCAACTTCATCACGCTCGGCACTGTATTCAGAGTCTTTGGAAATTTCTATATCCATCTCATCATACGCCAGCAGAAGTGGGCGCATTTCCTTGCAGCGACTTTTAAAGGACTCGATCAACTCCGCTTGAGGTATCCTGCCACCGTACTCCTTCGGTAGAAGATTCTTGTCCACTTTCTTATGCAGCTCTTCCCAATTTCGATGACACTATTGTGTTTGAAGATAAAAATAAATCAATCAAAATGTGACTCAGATCCACACACGGAGGAACACTTACAAAGATTCTGCTCCTAAGTTTTTCATTTGCCAACTGCAGAGCAAAATTCGCTATCGTCAAAACCGCACTCGGAGTATTGACAAAATGGATCTCCTGGGCTCGCAACGCCAGTGAATTGTTTATTACCTTTGATAGCAACCGAATATCATTGAAAGACACAATATTCAGATGCGCAAGTGTTATAGTTGAAAAGTCATACACCAGAATAAACCCACCGCACTGGAACTCGTTCGATTCGCCACAAAGTTCAGCTGTCAGCATGTGCAGACGGGATACTTGCTGCCCGGTGTACCTAGTCGGATCCATTCCGGACGTTACGCTGAAGACCAGCGTTCTTCCTTTGCTGTCCCGTTCCGGCAGGGGAAACAGATAGCCGGAGTCCACCAAAGCGGCAAGTACCGGGTCTTCAATGTCCAACCGTCCGAACCATTCCCGGTGCAGCACTTTCGTCGCCAGATTACGTTCCAGCAGCTTTGCAGCGTTGATAAAATTGAACTTCTTCGCTCGAAGGAACTTCAGCAGGAAGATGGCGTCGGTGCGGATCTGCCTGATGTGAGGATGCTTAGCAATCCAGTCTCTAAGCTGATCCAGCATCTGCTGGCGAAGTTCCGGATCCTCGCGGAGGTACTCCTTGGCGTGCTGCTGTAACTGCTGGTCCATTTCAGCCAGGCAATCATCGTACTTGTCGGGGGATTTGTCTAGGCACGGGGCGGCGGACATTGTCACTGATTTGCGTGGAATTGGTCTGATCGCACACTATGCTCTTGGTGGGCACCGGACAATGACTGGGTTCTGTCAACGCATAATTCGTTTTATTTAACACTTTACAACACAGAACATTCGCTAGGTAATACTTACGTTTTTGCATGGTTAACAAGACAGCAATTAAATCTTCTAAAAACAAGTCAAATAAAATTGTGCGCACTGCTCAAGTTGATTCAAGATTTGTCCCTTCGTGTTCAAGCTATACATCTTTTAACATGGTATTTGTAATCATGTAACGTATGTAATCCTTTTCGTTGCAACTTCCAATTTCAGTTTATAAACGTGAATCGATTTGGGTCGATTACAAGTGATATTGTGCAATTAAACTTTGCAATCAGCGCAGTGTAGAAAATTAACAACCTGAAACCAACCCCAAACAGACCGATTAACGAACCTATGATGCTGCGCTTTGTAACCGCCATGTCCAACAAGACCCCACCAGCTGCTTAATCCAATTGTTGACGAGTAATGCAAAAAGTGTCCCCCATAAAAATCTTACGTCAAACACTGGAACCACTTCAAATTTCCCACTTTATCCATTAAATTCTTGTTCTATATGCAGACGTTAGTTCTCAAGAGCGAATAAAACATCGGGTCATACAATTCGCGGCATCACTAACTGCTATCACATTACGCACTTTTTTCATCTATTAATTTGCGGTCCTCTCCATTACATAGCCTTCCCGCTCGACCCGCTGGTGCAATGTCACGCTAGTCGAAAGTAGTAATAATGTAACTAACCTCGGTCACAACTGTGTGTGTCCATCATCGACACGCGCGCGTGATTCACAGATGCCATCAACCGAAAAATCATCAAAATTCAAGCAGACCACACAAAAAGAAATGCTGACCCAAGGCACCTAAATAATAAATACTAATTCCGAGGCTTGACCAGCAGTCAGTTGGCCGTAAGCTCTCACCCCAAACAGTCACCAGTGATAAGCTCGTTTTGACCGTTAGTCTCCTAATCAAAGTGTCAAAGTTTAGGAAAATGTGCGCCGAAAATAGTTACCTGTTCTCGGTTCCCAGTGTTGAGAAGGCTCCGGAGAAGTACGATGACCGTGTCGGCGAGTTGAACGATTTCTATCGGAACATTGCTGTGGAGCAGTTGCGTGAAGATGACACACTGCGGGCACAGGGCCTGGAGCAACTTCGCGACTGGATCGCCAAGCACCCTCATATCCAAAAGTGTCGTACGGATGCGCCATTCCTATTGCGGTTCCTTCGAGGCAAGAAGTACTTGATCAACACCGCTACTGAAACGTTGGAACGATACCTGGTGGCTCGAGTGATGTACCCGCAGTGGTTTACCAAACTGGACATCGAAGAACCGCAACTCGCCGGTCTGGTTGATACGGGTTATCTTTTCCCACTACCAGAGCGAGATAGCCAGGGACGCGCACTGGTCTTCAACGAAACGGGTCAACTGGATCCGAGCAAGTTTACCGCTTCGGATGTGGCCCGTATCCACATGATGGTCAACGAATCCTTCTTCGATACCAACGAAGTGCAATGCGCTGGTCTGGTACTGGTGTATGATCTCTCCGGAATGACGATGGGCCAACTGAGTCTGGTGACGTTGAACGAAATACGAGTTTTGGCCTCGTTCATGAACAAAGCCTTCCCACTGAGAATTCAGGAGATCCACTTTGTGAACACTCCCGGAGCGACACTTCAAATTGCAAACTTCGCCCTAGCTCTACTCAGCGAGAAACTCCGTGAGCGCGTCTTCGTAAGTATAGCTCTGCCCAAACTCCAACCAGATTTTTGAATGTTCCTTTTATTTGCTTTCCCCCAAAATTAGTGTCATAAAAATTGGGACGAATGCTACACCAAGGTGGACAAGAACCTTCTACCGAAGGAATTTGGCGGTAAGATCCCGAAGGCGGACATGATCGATGCTTTCAAGAAGCGCTGCCAGAAGATGCGTGGTCGTATGCTGTTGGTCGACGAAATGGACATCGAAGTCACCAAGGACTCCAAATATTGGCAGGAAAATTCCGATATCGAACTGGAGAGTGGGGCGGTTGGAAGCTTCCGCCAGCTGACGGTGGATTGATTGATGGAATCACGATCGGTGGTTATTGTTATTTGCGTTTTTGTGTGTTTGTGTGTGTAGTCAAATAAGGTGTGTTTCCACTCTGGCAGGTGTAGTGAAGTATGTAACGGAGATTAGGTTCTGTAGACAAATGCAAATAGAACAAAATTGTTACAGCAAAGGTTATTTATCAGCAATTTTCAGTGATCCCGAAAATAGCCCATCGAATCCCAAAATAGTTCCATTAAACAAAACTAGTCATTTGCCGGGGAAACTGTTGCTTGAATCGCGTAGGACATCGATTTTGGTAACTAACTGTTTTTCTTCCGGTGTGGTTCTGTGATGTTCTCATGATAAATTTATCCTGCTTTAACTAATCATGTTTGTATTACTTCATGCGTGAAGTAAACGATTTACATAGTTGGAGATGCTTAACGTCAACTGCCATTGGTCATTTATATCCCTTACCCGTGTAAGCTTAAAGATCTGTAATGGTAAGCTCCGATAAATTAAGGACAGTTTAATTGCATTCTGTTCAAATTTGAAAACCCTGGATTTATTGGAAAGTCCACAGAACTCCAATGAACGGAAGGAGACATCAAAAATATTTTGGAAACTTCACAAGTCCAATGAACTTCAGGAAAATTGAATGGTTTTCAGGATAGATCCATTTGTTTCAGCATAATCGAGATAACTTCAGAGAACCTCTGAGAATCTCAGGATAGATCAATCAACTTCAAGGAAATTACTGAAACTTTTAAGGAGTTCCGAGAAACTCAGGGAATTTCCGAAATCTTCAGTAAAGTCCAGAAAGGTTCCAAAGCCGTAAGGGAAGTTACATGATCAGCTATGGCAGATTATGCATGAGTACGGATTTCCAGATAAACTAACGCGATTGGTCAAGGCGACGATGGATCGAGTGATGTGCGTTGTTCGAGTATCGTGGACACTCTCGAGTCCCTTTGAATCTCGAAGGGGGTTACGGCAAGGTGATGGACTTTCGTGTCTGCTATTCAACATCGCGTTAGAAGGTGTGATCAGAAGAGCTGGGATAGGCACGAGTGGCACGATCTTCAGGAAATCCATCCAGCTTCTTGACTTCGCCGATGACATTGACATCATGGCACGGAACTTTGAGACGATGGCGGAAACGTTCATCAGACTGAAGGCTGAAGCTAGGCGGATTGGACTTGCCATCAACACATCAAAGACAAAATACATTAAAGGAAGAGGTTCTAGGGAAGACAATGTTAGCCTCCTACCCCGAGTTCAGAATGACGGAGACGAAATCGAGGTGGTCGATGATTTCGTGTATTTGAGCTCACTGATGACCGCCGAAAATGATACCAGCAGAGAAATTCAAAGACGCATTATGGCAGGGAATCGTACCTACTTTGGACTCCGCAGGACGCTCCGGTCGAATAAAATTCGCCACCGCACGAAGTTGACTGTCTACAAGACGCTGATTAGACCGGTGGTCCTCTACGGCCACGAGATCTGGACTATGCTCGTGGAGGACCAACCTTGGTGTTTTCGAACGGAAGGTGTTGCGTACCATCTACGGTGGAGGAGGCGAATGAACCACGAATTGCACCAGCTGCTGGGAGAACCATCCATCGTCCACATTGCAAAAATTGGGCGACTACGGTGGACTGGGCACGTCGTAAGAATGCCGCACGACGATCCAGTGAAAATGGTTCTAGAAAGCGACCCACAGGAACAAGAAGAAGAGGCGCGCAGGTTGATCGACCAAGTAGAAGGCGACCTGCGGACCCATGACCGGAGTGTGGCCATGGATCGAGTATAGTGGAGACCACTTCTTCGGACAGCAGAGGACAATAAAGTGGACCCTACACGATTGCTTTTATTGACAATAATCGTGTTGTCAATACATTCTATATTGACGTCAATACATCGAGATTGACAATATTTCTGAATTCACATCATCAATATTATTGTCAATAATTCCCCTTCGCGTCAATATATTGATGCGTGTGGGGTTTGCTTAAGGCCTTAGCCTGATTGGTAAGTAAGGTAAGGTAAGGTAAGGTTGACACGCTGGAAAACCTTCCGACACCAAAAAACACCAAAGAAACACAATCAGCACAGGCACAAGGTGGTGAGAGAATTACCTCCTGGATGCGATCTTTTAATTTTTAAAGCATGGTAAGCACGTGATGCGACCCCATCAACTCACTAATGTAAAGTAGCTTGGGCGTAGCTAGAATCTTATAAGGCACAATGACAACTCTCATAATTGGCGTTGACGAGAGCTCTGTAACTCTTTACTCCTATGGAAAAATCTCATATGTAACTGTCAGTCTATGTGTGCAACATGGCGGACTTTTTCTTATTCTCTCTCTCCAACGCAAAACCCCATAAAGAACTGTCAAAATGTGTGTGAAGCAACGTCACTTCGGGACTGGTGTCAAGGCGAATAACAAATTGGTTGGGTGAAGATCAATATCATAATGATAATGAACCTACTACCAGTTGATTTGTCTCATGCAGCTGGAGATCCAGAGCCAAAGTGCGGAATGCTCACTATGCCCCAGCTGTTCACTATGCCCCTCCTTCCCCTACCTATTCCTCTATAGACGCCAACATTCATTAGGATGCATTCAGCAACTAGCATTACGATACGCAGCAGCATAACTTAAGTGAATCATATACTGACTACAAAATCACTCATCGGGAAGAATTCGCCTTCATGTATGTAGAAATAAATGCCCAAATACACGGCCGCTGAGATTAACGCAAAATTGTGTTGATTTTCCCTTATTTTGGAGGAAATGAAACAGCTGTTGCACTTGCACTGAGTAAACAGCACTCAAGAATTGGGTAAGCTTTACTGAGATTCAGCCATTTTTGAGTTACGTTTACTACATTTGTCCGCACGGTTACTCAGTACATATCCCTTGTATTTAAGCAACGATAACCTGAATGGTACAATTCTTCCATGAATATGGATGAACATAGGATGATGGCCCGAACACGTTGATAAGTACTTTTTATGGTTCCTTTTTTATTGATGGAGTAAACTCGGTGATTGATATTCTACTCAATATTGAATAGCCTCAGCATACGTGTAGGACTGCGAATGAATCATAATGATACCGATAGTTTTGCTTACCTAGTTGGAAAAATTGGGTCGGTTGGGAGTGAATTTGAAAAGATAAACGTTGAATAGACTGTCGATGAATAGCTGCTTATTAAATTTTCTTCTAATACATTTGAATATACTATGACATATTCAATTCTCCATATAACTTCTGTGCTATAAGAACTAGAAAATGGAAGGAATACATTCAAATTCAATTCAAAATCAATTCAAATTCGAGAAGCGCCGGTGGTGCAATGGTAAGCATGATTGACTCACTCTGAAAGGCCTGGGTTCAATCTACAAAATCTTTGATTACGCCTTCCTATGGAAGGAAAGTAAAGTCGTTGGTCCCCGGTCCATGAGTTGATGGGTCGAAAGGTAGGGTCGAGGTGTGGGAGCATTGATACTCAGTTCAGAAAACAAGATCAACGGAAAACAAATCAAGGAACACAAATCAAATTCAATTCAAATTCAATTCAAATTCAATTCAAATTCAATTCAAATTCAATTCAAATTCAATTCAAATTCAATTCAAATTCAATTCAAATTCAATTCAAATTCAATTCAAATTCAATTCAAATTCAATTCAAATTCAATTCAAATTCAATTCAAATTCAATTCAAATTCAATTCAAATTCAATTCAAATTCAATTCAAATTCAATTCAAATTCAATTCAAATTCAATTCAAATTCAATTCAAATTCAATTCAAATTCAATTCAAATTCAATTCAAATTCAATTCAAATTCAATTCAAATTCAATTCAAATTCAATTCAAATTCAATTCAAATTCAATTCAAATTCAATTCAAATTCAATTCAAATTCAATTCAAATTCAATTCAAATTCAATTCAAATTCAATTCAAATTCAATTCAAATTCAATTCAAATTCAATTCAAATTCAATTCAAATTCAATTCAAATTCAATTCAAATTCAATTCAAATTCAATTCAAATTCAATTCAAATTCAATTCAAATGCAATTCAAATTCAATTCAAATTCAAGTCAAATTCAATTCAAATTCAATTCAAATTCAATTCAAATTCAATTCAAATTCAATTCAAATTCAATTCAAAGAGGGGTATAGGCGAGCAGCACGCAATACAAAGAACCGGTGCGTTGAAGTTAAAAGACAATCAAAAGTACTTAAAGTAATTAATGCGTTTTGAAGTAGTTCTGACGGTAATTAAAATTATCTATCCGTAATTTATGTAATTAAAAGTATAAAAAATGTAATTAATGTACTTTAAGGTGATATTCTAAGAATGCCTTAGCGTTAAACTTCAAAGGTACAAATGACAGCTTCCACAAAACATACAAATTTGAAATTGCTACTCTCTGTTTGTAGTAGCACAGCAAACAAGGAGTAGCAATTTCAAATTTGTATGTTTTGTGGAAGCTGACATTTGTGCCTTTAAAGTTTCACGCTAAGGCATTCTTAGTTCATAAACGTTAGAACTTTGTTGTTGATTTGATATCGTAATTGCTTAATTTGCAGGAACAAATTTCAAATATTATTTCTTGATATTTTTCCTCTTATATGGATCTAATGCATATATTGTTTTGATATTAAGATCATAATTTTTAATGACTGAGATACTTCCATCTACCCGGAAGCACAGCTCTTTTGCATAATAATGTTTTTATGGCTTATTACACTGGGTATTAGGATCAAACAATAGGATAACTATTATTTTTCTTTTTTTTTCATGACTGCTATATAATTCTTTCCTATAGGCTCTGGTTGAATACTTCGGAATAGTATTAGTATTGGAAGGATTTTATTATGTTTTTCTTTTACAAGCTGATGATGAATCAATCAGTTTACAAGTTTATTGCAGATTGTATGTATAGATTTTTTTTGCTATCCGGAATATCTTAAGTTCAATCATCCAAATTTAGTGTTCATGAAACATCCAAAGTGTTTCAAAAGTTTTCAAGATGATTAACCTTAAATATCTAAAGTTGGATGA